AGTCCAGGTTTTTATAGAACGGTGGTGGTTTTTGTGGTAACCTGGCTTCGCACCCATACTTTACCAGATCAAAGGGGAGCATCGGAATGTCTTTAGAAATGACTTTGCCAACAATTCCCATCACAGATGAAAGCCCAATTTCGGGCATCCCGACCTCAGAATCGGCAGCTGCCGAAGAAAACAGAATCCTGCATCTTCGGGTTATGGAAATGTGGGACGCTTGGGCAAATGGAAGAGAGCCGCCAAGCGCAATCCCGGGATTCCCCGAACATTTTCCTAGATCAGGGGGTACCTCCAATGTTCCAATCAGTCACCCAAATACCCCACTAGGACATCCAACTATCTCAGCTCATTTCGTGGGAACACCTTCTGAGGTCAGCCCCCAGGTGTTCATGTCCGGTGCAGCTTCAAATATCTTCACCGCACCCCCATGCTCAGCCACGGCACAGCCTACACTGCCTAGGCCAGTTTTGACCCCTCAGCTTTCACCTTCCAAACACCTACCTTCCAAATGGAACCCCCTCAGTTTCCCACTTATACTTATCCTCAGCCACCCCAATTTGAGTTCACTGCAAGGCAAGAAAAGACTACCAAAACTCTTGAGCAAGAAGAAATTACAAGAAAGATGAGGAGTATGGAACAAAGCCTCAAGAACATACAAGGTTTGAGTGGGCAGAAAAGTGTGTCCTATGCTGACTTATGCATGTTCCCTCATGTGCACTTACCATTGGGATTCNCCTTACTTTTCGCATTTATTTTTTCTTGAACTACGTGATGATTTGATTCACGCTGCGTCGTGATACGTAGGCAATCCTCATCGGATCAGGTCATAATTTTGTAAATAGTTCCAATAAGAAAAGAAAATGAAAAGAAACAAAATGATGATGGAAATAAGAGAAAAAAGGGCAAGAGAAGAAAAAAAAAGAAAAACAAAAAGAGAGATGGAAAAGGAAGAGTGAAAGTGGAAGAGAAAATGGAGAAAATAAGTAAAGCCGGGATGAAGCATGCAACTGTTGCAAAACATGTAGAAATACAATTAACTGTATAGGTGCATCATACCCCAACGTGCGATTATCTATCTATTATTTGTTTCAAACTAACCGTTTGCTGCTGTTACTTCTCAGTCCAGGTTTTTATAGAACAGTGGTTGGTTTTTGTGGTTACCTGGCTTCGCACCCATACTTTACTAGATCAAAGGGGAGTATCGGAATGTCTTCAGAAATGACTCTGCCAACAATTCCCATCACGGACGATAGCCCAATCTCAGACATCCCGACCTCAGAATCGGTAGCTGCCGAAGAGAACAGGATCCTGCGTCTTCGGGTTATGGAAATATGGGACGCTTGGGCAAATGGAAGAGAACCACCAAGCGCAATCCCGGGATTCCCCGAACTTTTTCCTATAGCAAGTGGTACCTTCATTGTTCCGATCACTCACCCAAATACACCACTAGGACACCCGACTATCTCAGCTCATTTTGTGGCAACACCTTCTGAGGTTCGCCCCCAGGTGTTGATGTCCGGTGCAGCTTCAAATATCTTCACCGCTCCCCCATGCTCGGCCACAGCACAGCCTACTCTGCCTAAGCCCAGTTTTGACCCCTCAGCGTTCACCTTCCAAACACCAACCTTCCAAATGGAACCTCCTCAGTTTCCCACTTATAATTATTCTCAGCCGCCCCAATTTGAGTTCACTGCAGGACAAGAAAAGACTACCAAAACTCCTGAGCAAGAAAAAATTGCGAGAAAGATCAGGAGTATGGAACAAAGCCTCAAGAACATACAAGACTTAAGTGGGCAGAAAAGTGTGTCTTATTCCGATTTATGCATGTTCCCTCATGTGCACCCCAAAATTTAAAAAGTACGATGGGCACGGTGACCCTATTGCTCATCTCAAGAAATATTGCAATCAGCTGCGAGGAGCCGGAGAAAGGGAAGAACTACTCATGGCCTATTTCGGAGAAAGTCTGGTTGGCATCGCCTCTGAGTGGTACATGGACCAAGACATATCCCGCTGGCACATCTGGGATGATCTTGCTAGAGATTTTGCTAGGAAGTTCCAGTATAACATTGATATTGCTCCAGATAGGAACTCATTGACAAACCTGAAGAAAAAATCCTCGGAAAGCTTCCGAGAGTATGCAGTTAAATGGCATGAGTAGGCCTCCAGGGTAAAGCCTCCAATGGATGAGGTCGAAATGGTCACAGTTTTCCTCCAAGCTCAGGAAGCCGACTACTTCCAAAATATGTTGTCTACTATGGGAAAACCGTTCGCTGAAGCCATCAAAATCGGCGAAATGATTGAAAATGGATTGAAAACGGGTCGAATTCTAAGCCAATCCGCTATCAGAGCTACCTCCCAAGCCATTCAGGGTGGGTCTGGAGGAGTAGCAAAGGGAAAGAAAAAGGAAGAAACATCCATGGCAGCATCGGGTGCAAGAAAACATTGTACTCCCAGATCCTTTCTCCTAGAAAGAACCCCGCAGCACTATTACCCCCACCAAGACGTGGCCTATGCTCCTCAGCCATACACGGTCATGAACGCTCAACCTTATGTCCGGCCACAACAACAAGCCAACCGGAACCAAGCTCCATTTCATAGAAACGAGCCTCCTTACCAAGCCCACTACAATCCCCGACCTCCACAAAATAACTTCTGTGCTCGGGAGCCGCCAACGAAAACAAATTTCACACCAATTGGCGAGTCCTATTCTAGCCTGTTCCCAAAATTGGTCCAAATAGGTTTGTTGCAGCCCGTACCCCCAAATAGGCAAAACCCAGAATCACCTTCTTACCAACGTGGTACCTGATGCGCTTATCACTCAGGAGCCGAGGGGCATGATATAGAAAATTGTTGGACTTTGAAGAGAGCCGTGGAAGATTTGATAGAACAAAGGAAGATAGTGCTGAGGGATGAAGATATTCCCAACATAACCAACAACCCACTTCCAGCCCACAACAACGGGCTGGTAATCGGAAAGATTTGTGAGGACAAGGAATTTGACCCAGTGTTGAAGCCCATCATTTCCATTGCGGATGTGGAAAGGAAACCAAAAGCTGCCCCGAAGCAAGACAAAGGGGAGAAAAAGAACAAAACCACCCCTCCAAAGTCGGAGAAGAAGATTGAAGTTGAAACTAGGGCAACGCCTCCCAAAGATGTTGTTCTCTATGTCCCTCGAGGCCGCAAAGAAAAGCAGATGACTTTAAGTCCTCCCAGGAGATTCCAGCTGAACAAGACAGCCCAAATGTATGTGCCCAAGGGAGATTATGTGATGCGGGGGCCAATTAATCCACCAAGGCTGAGTGAGCCCGTGGTTATTGGCCGCACGCCACAGAAGCCTATGACAGATCCTGCCGTTGTGCCCTGGAATTACAACAAATCAATGGTGACCTATAAGGGCAAAGAAATCTCAGGAGAAGTTCAAGAAAATAACCCAGCTGAAAAGTATTTCAATTTGGAAGAGGTGAACAATGCCACTAGAAAGCGCTTCCCATCTAAGAAGCCCGTGGATGCCGAAGAAGCGGAAACATTCTTTCAAAAGATGAGAATGGCGGATTATGAGGTGATCGACCAGCTTCGAAAATCTCCTGAACAAGTCTCCTTATTATCTCTGTTGATGAGCTCCACCGAACATCAGAAGGTATTGACCAAAACCCTTAACGAAGCCTATGTGCCTGTCTAGACTTCTGTAGAGCAGTTGGAAAGAATGGCAGAAAGATTTTTCGCAATCAACCAGATCTCCTTCAGCAAAAATGACTTGCCCCCAAAAGGGGCTGCACATAACAAAGCGCTGCAACTTACAATCAAATGCGAAGGGTACTACGTGAAGAGGGTTATGGTGGACGGAGGTTCTGGGGTAGACATCTGCCTACTCTCAACTTTACAGCGCATGGAAATTGGGACTGAAAGAATCCGACCCAACAATGTCTGCGTACGAGCCTTCGATGGTATAAAAAGGGACACGATTGGAGAGATCGATCTAACTCTGACCATCGGTCCAATAGACTTTGAAGTAACCTTCCAGGTTCTAGACATGCACACCTCCTACAACTTTCTTTTGGGGAGGCCATGGATCCATGCAGCGGGGGCTGTGCCCTCTACTCTTCATCAGATGGTAAAGTTCGAGCATGAGGATCAAGAGATCGTGGTCCA